CCCGTTCCCGCATTGCCTATGCCCCGCGCTGGCTGGGGACCCGGTGGCAGAGCGGGTGGAAAGGGATGGGACTGGAGCAACTGCATCGGCCTATGCACGACGCTTTCCTGTGGCCAAGTCCCAGGATAAAGATATAGGCTGGTGCCGGTCCCAGGCCGCTGGGCAGAGACTGGTGCAGTCCCAGCGTGCCTCCCTCGGAAGCCTCCTCTGTCAGCCCCCCCGTCGGAATGAGCCCACCAGCTGGGCTCGCTGGCCCTGTGCTCTCCCGCGCCGTTTCACTCTTCGCTGCTGGCAACCGCCAAGAGTGCTGTCTTCTTGGCGCGCGGCCGGGAGCAGGAGCCCGAAGGCTTCGACCGCTGGGTCCCGCCGCCGCTCTTTGTTTGGGCGCCGCCATCTTGGAACACGTGCGGGGGGGGGGTTGTGCAGGGGCCGACTGGCTCTTGCGTTCAGCCGGCCCCGCTTTGGTGGAGCTGCCGTCCTCTGACTGTTGCAGCGGCGCTTCCTCCAGCCGCTGCCTGTCCTGCAGCCTGACTCCCGGTACCTCGGGAGTGCTGTGCTGCTGCTCCACAGGGGCCTCCGTCGCGGCCTCTTATCCTCCTTCCGGTGCCTCGGAAGGTAGAGGGGGCCGTTCTTCGTTTTCTTCCCATCCTGGATCCTCGGCAGTAACCCCTTGTCGTTTTGGGGCCTGCAGGGAGGGAAGGGAAGGTCTTCTGCTGTCTGTTGAGGTTTTTTCTTTTTAAATAAAATTTTCTTTTATTCCTCTGGCTTGGAGCAGGAGCTCCAGAAGTCCTACCGAGCGCAGGGCTATGCAGAAACTGGAGAGGTCAGCCTAGGCCACTCCAATAGGAGCCACGCAACAAAAGAAATTTGCATAGCCTATCGAGCGAGCAGAGGCGTGACCTAACCAGTTCCTGGATGACTTCCCCCCACTGAAGGAGAACTCTCTTTTTCACACAACGGTCTCAAGTCAGGCGACTTATCTATTTTGTTGCCAAGAGCTTTTGAAATTTTGAAGTTTTGATTGAACTGGGAAGAGTTTATTACTAAAGGTCTCATGATGTATGGATTCGTAATTGAGACCATTGTGTGAAAAAGAGAGTTCGAAACGGTAGCTCTGGGGAAGTTCGTCCTTCATTGACTGTCTGTTGACGTCCTGCTGTGAAAAGAATAAACATCATGAAGTGATTATACATCGCATTACAGCATCTTTCATTATATGCACTGTTGCAGTATTTCTTCTATGTTTTGATATTGTCATACGGCTGCCCCTTCGTATTTTTCTACTGAAAGAACTTGTGACTGACCCAAGATCACCCAGCAGCTGCACGTGGAGGAGTGGGGAATCCAACCTGGTTCTCCCAGATTAGAGTCCGCACCCTTAACCACTACACCAAACTGGCTCTCTGGTTAAATTGAACACATGCAACCAGGCTCAAGGTCAACCAAGCGAGTTTTGTGACAGAGAAAGGAATTACACATGGGTCTCAGCACCTGACCTGCTCAACCACCCGTGTCCTTAATGTTACCTGTATAACTGGAGGAGGTGTACGGAACAGTTTTGTGTTGCTGGTGAAGTCTTCCACACGCAGAGTGGCAGACATAATAATCAGCTTCAGTGGACGCCCCTTCTGTCAACATACAATCACAGGCTCTTCTTACACATGAGGCGAACAGAAGAAAGGACTTCGCTGGATCAAATCAAATCAAGGGCCCACCTAGTTCGGTGCCCTCACCCCCCCTTTGGCCAACCAACTGACCTGGAGTCGCCCACAAGCAGGGCACAGTGACAACACCCTTCTTCTGCTATTGCCTCTCAGTAATTGGTATTGAGAGGTAGACTGCGCTTGAACGTGGAGGTTCCACTCTGCCTGGCAGTGACTAGCATCAGCTTCCTGTGTAACATTCCCTGTATTACTTCAGAAGCACATTTGTCTTGCTATAAGGGATTGTGAGGTGGAGCAGAAAAGCATACACAAACAGAATTGTCCTGTTTGCAACGGTTTGGGATCCTGTGGTTCTTTTAGCTGAAAGAAGGGGATTTCTGTCAGGCAGAATGGAACTTTTTCACCTTCCCTACCCCAGTGTAGCAAGAAACGCTTCCTGAGAAGCTGCTCTGGGGGACAAGGAACTCTAAGGAAAAGCAAGAGGGGGAAACTGGGGGGGGGGGGGAGAGATCAGTGAAAATCACCTCCGCCCAGGGCTATTTTGGGGCAGGAACGCACAGGAACGGAGTTCTGGCTGGCTTCAGAGTTGGCCATGCCCACTACAGCCAAAACCTCTGCGTGTGTGGGTACAGGGCGAAGGCCTGGAGAGTAACCCCCCCCCCGGCGACTTCAAGGCCCTGAAAGGATCGGGGAGGCATTTAAATGCCTCCCCATGCCTTCCCCGGCCTGTCCAAAGGCCGGCTTGCTAGGTCTCCCAGGGCGCCCCGGCAAGCCAAGGGAAGGCATGGGGTGTGGTCTATTATGCTAATGAGTTCCTGCTGGGCTTTTTCTACAAAAAAAAGCGCCCTGCCTCCGCCCTTCCATTCACGGAATTCTGCCATCGGATCCAACCCACGGGTTCCATCTCAAAAAAACAGAGAAGTGAAAAAAGTAAAATAAAAACGCCCTTGCTTTCTTACCTACCAGCTTCCAAGCACTTTAGAAAATTAAAAATTACTAAGAGGACATGTTAAAAAACAACGGTGAATGCAAACAAAAACAATGGTGTATGCCCATGATACAGCTGTTAAAAAACTTTTTTTTTTTGCCTTTAAGTCACAGCTGACCTATGGCAACTCCGTGGGTTTATCAAGGCAAGAGATGTTCAGAGGGGGTTGGCCATGGCCTTCATCTGCGGAGAGACCCTCCACTTCCCTTGGCGGTCTCCCTTTGACCAGGGCTGAACCTGCTTAGCTTATGAGATCTGTCGAGATCAGGTTAGGGCGAAAAACCTAGTTATGTCTGGCTAAACGAAGGGTCAGATGAAACAGCTTTCACCTGACCCTTGGCAGATAATGAAGTTAGAACGAGAAGAATGTGTCTGGGGACACTTCACCACAATCACTACAGCCACTGTCTTTGTAGCCCCCGCCTAACCATTCACTCATTCACACGGTGTTCTGCACCCATGCCGGACATGCTGTGATTCCTTCCCCTCTAGAAAGCAGAAGAATTTTGGATTCTCCCTCACATGATTTCTTTCTTTGCAGAGAAAGTAATTTTGTAAACAGTGAAATAAGCAAGAGACAAGGCAGGCTTTGCTGTGCAGCTTTTGGGAGCACACAGCGGCTCCTGTGCGTTCACACCAGTGCAAGGTAGTCTGCCACTGGACAGGGAGGCTCCATTCTGCCGAGAAGGTCCCAGACATAAAGCGTTTGTCCGGCACATAACCATACCTTTCCGATTCTCCTTACCTTGGCCCGAAGGGGCACGATGCGAGACAGGAGGCCAATGAGGATATCCGTGTACACGCTTCTTTCGTGAGCTTCATCGAGAATAACGACGCGATACTTGGACAGCAAGAAATCCTGAGGGAACAGAAAGGTGGAACTGAGAAATTCCACTCCCACCTCTCAATGCTTGACCAAATCCACTGACCAATCCAACCCAAAGCTTGAGCGTGCTTCATCCCAGCTGCTCCCCGGGCATTTCTTACCAAGCCTTCCTAATTATTAGTTAAGCCTAGGGTCCCTAACACAGGGCCTACGTGTCCCATGGTGCCCATGGACATCTTTTCTGGCACCTCCCACGTGTTTTTAGGAAGTGGGCCGCCCCAAACGGAGCTTGTGGCTAGTAAAGCCTCTGATTAGCCAATGGGGACTGACTGGCTGAGCAGATTTTTTAAAAAACTGTTTTGGTGGCAGCTGCCACCACAGCACAAGAATCTTCACTGTGTGACTGAAGGTAAGTCATGGCAGACATTTTGTGGCTGACTCCACCTCCTGCAGCAGCCATTTTGTGGCTGCGCGACCGCACTGTGTCAGAATTCAAACAGTGCCCGCAGGCTCAAAAAGGCTGCAGGTTGCTGAAATTGGTATATAAATTGTATCCCTAATACCTGTTCTGGTTCTGCATTATTTTTGTGTCTGAACTGCATTTTGGAACATTTTAAAATTTACGGATTATTTCAATGTGCTGAGAACCAACTTGTTTTATAAATTATTTCTCTACCAGATTCAAGTGGAAGAAATAATTCAAGTTGGATCCAATTGTAGGTGTCAGTTTGCTGGATAAAGCCCCGTTAGGTCCTGTGTTGATTTCTTCTTCTTCTCTTGGTTTATTTAGCTTATTTTTTGTTATAGCTTTTATATGACACTGTGATAATTTAAATTTGTAAAATTTTCCTGTTAATAAAGGGGGGGAAAGGTTGGGGGTCCCCCAGCTAAGCAATGAAGAAAGATGAGCTTTGCAAGAGATAAGCTGCTTTCTAAGTTGTTGGTACTCCCTTCCACAGTGGATCTAACCACTGGGAATCCAGCTGACACCCGTCTGTACAACTTCATCCTGAATTCTGGATGGGTCGCCATGTTAGCCTGCCTGTAGCAGTAGAAAAGAGCACAAAATCCAGGGGCACCTTAAAGACTAACAACATTTGTGGCAGGGGAGGAGCTCTCGTGAGTCACTTCTTCAGATGCGTGTCTGAAGAAGTGAGCAGTGAATCATAAAGTCACACAGGCTGGAAAATGCGGGGGGGGGGGGGGGGCGGCTTGCCCCGGGTGCTGCTTGCCCCGGAGCAAAATAACGCGTGGCTGCGCGATCAGACATCCGTTTGAGGTCCTGTCGAGGTCCCGTGGTTAGGGGGGAGGTACCGATCACACCACAGGCAAAGAAGCGGGGCGGCGCGGCAAACGGAGTTGTGTGTGTGTTGGGTTTTTTTTTAACTGAAGTGTGCGCATGTTTCATTGGGTGCTTGTGTGCATCCCATGGAGACTTGGGGGGAAAAAACCCTTTTTGCAAGGGGACATGGGCGGGCGCTGGATGCCACCGGAAACGCGATCAGATGCCTGCCCTTGCCCCGCAGTTTCCAGAAACTAGTACCTCGGAGGTACTAGTTTTTTACCCCGCATCTTCAGCGGGAAGCCTCGGGTGAGCCACGGGAGCTCTACGCTTCCCAGATGTGGCGCTGTGATCCGCCTATCTTCCGTCTCTGTAGCGTGGCTAATGCTCCATGTGACCGCAGCCGAAAGCTCATTCTTCGTTGTCGTCCCCTGCCATGAATTTTGTTTTTCTTTAAGCTGCTGCTGGACTCTCACTCTGCCCTGAATTCTGTCTGCGTCACGCTACAAGGTGACAGGACGTGGAAAACCCTTTCCCCAACACTCCCAGTTAATTTCATTCTTGACGGGAAAAAACCCTTACCTTCTGGATTTCTTTTAACAGAACACCGTCAGTCATGAATTTGATGCTGGTCTCGGTGGTCACGTTGCCTTCGTAACGGATCTGGTATGAAACGGTCCTGGGTGTGGGAGATCAAGGAAGTTCAGTAGCAAACAAAACACAACTCTGGACACAAAGGCATTCCTTGGAAGTAAAGCTTGGAAGCATTTCGGGCAGCGTTGAAATATGGAAGAGGAAAATTATTTCTAATTTGCCACTAAAGCCATGTTGGGGTTTTTTTAAAGGGGCTTTGAGGGACCCTCCCCTTCCCAAGAGTATTTTCCCGGCAGCCAAGAAATCCACAACAGATGCAATCTCCACACAGAGCAACTCTGGTTAGACATGTGTCAGAATATTTGTTCAGACCAGGGCTTGACCCTCTGATGTAGCATTTTCTGACTCTGGACTCATAAGAATATGAGAGAAGCCAACATTGGATCAAGCCAAAGGCCCATCCAGTCCAACACTCTGTGTCACACAGTGGCCAAAGATACCAGGTGCCATCAGGAGGTCCACCAGCGGGGCCGGGACACTAGAAGCCCTCCCACTGTTGCCCCCCGCCCAAAGCACCAAGAAGACAGAGCATCACTCGCCCCAGAGCCCCTATCTATACCTTGTGGCTAACAGCCACTGATGGACCTCTGCTCTTAAGAGCCTAAGAGAAGCCATGCTGGATCAGGCCAGTGGCCCACCCAGTCCAACACTCTGTGTCACACAGTGGCCAAAAATACCAGGTGCCACTAGGTCCAGCAGTGGGGCCAGGACACTAGGAGCCCTCCCACTGTTGCCCCCCCCCCGCACCAAGAATATGGAGCATCACTTGCCCCAGACCGAGAGTTCCTATCTATACCTTGTGGCTAATAGCCACTGATGGACCTCTGTTCCAGATGTTTATCCAATTCCCTCTTGAAGCTGCCCATGCTTGTAGCCACCACCACCTCCTGAGGCAGTGAATTCCATGTGTTAATCTTTCTTTGGGTGAAGAAGGACTTCCTTCTATCCGTTCTAACCCAACTGCTCAGCAATTTCATGGAGTGCCCACGAGTTCAAAATCGCTGCGAAGTATTCTCTGAACAGCGATCTGAATAAAGCGACTGTGGAATCTGGGGTATGGTTTACTACATATTATAGCAGAAAAATGGGGCTGACCTCAGAGCAGAGATTGGATTTATACCCCGCCCTTCACTACCCAGAGGATTCTCAGAGCGGCTTACAAACTCCTTTCCCTTCCCCTCCCCACAACAGACACCCTGTGAGGTAGGTGGGGCTGAGAGAGCTCTGACAGAAACTGCTCTTTTTTCAAGAACAGCTGTGCCAGAACTATGGCTTGCCAGCCAGGTCCAAGTGGAGGAGTGGGGAATCAAACCCGGTTCTCCCAGATTAGTCCGTGCACTTAACCAGTTTGGTGTAGTGGTTAAGTGTGCGGACTCTAATCTGGAAGAACCGGGTTTGAGTCCCCACTCCTCCACTTGCACATGCTGATGTGACCTTGGGTCAGTCACAAGCTCTGGCACAGCTGTCCTTGAAAAAGAGCAGTTTCTGTCACAGTTCTCTCAGCCCCACCTACCTCCCAGGGTGTCTGCTGTGGGGAGGGGAAGGGAAAGGAGTTTGTAAGCCGCTCTGAGACTCCAAGTGAAGGGCGGGGTATAAATCCAATCTCTTCTTCTTCTACACCAAACTGGCTCTGTAACCACTCATTCTGCAATGTGATCATCACTGAAACATGACCCTTCTCCAACAAAGCCAACTGCAAGTACTAGGTCATCTCTCTGCATTGAGAAAAGCAAGCTTGCAGGGTGCTTTACCTATGTGACAAATTCATCTCCTTTGCGACACGCTGGGACATGGACACAGCTGCAACACGCCGGGGTTCTGTGATGCCGATGATACCATTGGAGCTGTAAGGAAAATCAAGAAAAGATTGCTATAAGGGGGAAAAGAGAAGAGGAGATTGGATTTATACCCTATGCTCTTCACTCAGAGTGGCTTACTACCTCTTCCCTTTCCCTCCCCACAACACACACCTTATGACTGGTGGGGCTGAGAGAGTTCTTTCGAGAACTGCTTGTGAGAGAACAGCTCTGAAACAACTTGTAACTGACCCAAGGTCATACCAGCAGCTGCATGTGGAGGAGTGGGGAATCAAACCTCGTTCTCCCAGATTAGAGCCCACGCTCTTAACTACTACACCAAGCTGAAAGAGTGCTTCTCTACTTCCCAGTCCCTTTCCCCTGACTGTCCTTATAAGAGCTTTACAATCCTCAGCCAAATCGACAGCTTTCCCATCCCTCACAGCAGCTGGACCGCTAACTGTTTCACCTCCTCCATCCCCTGACCAACCAAACATTCCATGACATAACACCCAGTTCAGCCAATTGGCATCCGAGGAGTCACGTACGACAAGCCTATTAACAATACAGATCGTGGGGAGAGCACAAATCTCATCACATACCTGGCATAGCCTGCTTCATAGAGAAATTGGGGCACTTGAGTAGTTTTGCCGCTGCCGGTCTCTCCACATATAATGACCACGGGGTTCTCGTTAATGGCTTCCATGATGACTTGCTCTTCGGCAAGGATCGGGAGCTTCAGCCTGGCTTCCTTTTGGAACAAAAAAGCACTTCCACGTCACACATTTCATAGAAAGCCAGTAGCATAGTGCTACTGTGGAGGTAGTGACAGACTTCACGTTCCTGGGATCCCAGATCACCGCAGACTGTGACAGCGGCCATGAAATTAAAAGGCGCCTGCTCCTTGGGAGGAAAGCGATGGCGAACCTAAACAGCATGATAAAAAGTAGAGACATCACCCTGCCAACAAAAGTCCGCATGGTCAAAGCAATGGTATTCTCAGTAGTCATGTATGCCTTCGAGAGTTGGACTATAAGGAAGGCCGAGCGCCGAAGAATAGATGCTTTTGAACTATGGTGCTGGAGAAGACTCTTGAGAGTCCCTTGGACTGCAAGAAGATCAAATCAGTCAATCCTAAAAGAAATCAACCCTGACTGTTCCCTGGAAGGCCAGATAATGAAACTGAAGCTCAAATACTTTGGCCACCCAATGAGAAGGGAGCACTCACTGGAGAAGACCCTGATGCTGGGAAAGAATGAAGGTCAAAGAAGACGGGGACGGCAAAGGATGAGATGGTTAGACAGTCTCATAGATGCAACTAACATGAAATTGGGCAAACTTCAGAGGACGGCGGAAGACAGGAAGGCCTGGTGTGATCTGGTCCATGAGGTCGCAAAGAGTCGGACTCGACTGTGTGACTGAACAACAACAAGCATAGTGCTTAGTGTCAGACTACAGGTAGGGAGACCCAGGTCTGAGCCCCCCCCCCATGGAAGCCCTCTGGGTGACCTTGGGCCAGTTGCTTGCTCTTAGCCTAACCTACCTCACAGGATTGTTGTGAGGAGGGGAGTGGGGAGCCCTGAGCTTTTAAACAGGAAAGGCAGGATAAGGATGTTATTGTTAAACTGGGAGTGAGGGAATACGCCACCCTGAGCTTCTCAGAGGAAGAACAGGATAACGTATTCAAAAGTCCAAATTGCAAGATGTGATAGCACCGCTGTACACCGCATTGGTCGGGACACACCTGGAGTATTGGTGTGCAGTGCTGGAGGCCTCGCTTCAAAAAGGATGTGGACAGAATGGATCACGTGCAGAGAAGAGCGACGAGGACGATGGGGGGCCTGGAGACCAAGCCTATGAAGAAAGGCCGAGGGACTTGGGAAAGTTTAGTCTGGAGAAGGGGAGGTTGAGTGGGGACATGATCAATGTTCCCTCTAAGTGGTAGAGTCTTGTGAGCAGAATTTCTACTTTGTGAGCTACTGGCATTACAGTTGTGAGCAAGAGATTTGGCTGCTGCATCAATTAGTTGGCTCTGGAGCCATCTTTCCTGAGCTAAGACAAAAATGTGTGAGCCGGAGGCTAAAAAACGGTGAGCTAGCTCACACTAACTCAGCTTAGAGGGAACACTGGACACGATGGCTCTCTTGAAGTATCTGAAGGGCTGTCGTGGCTTAAGAGGAGGGCAAGGAGCTATTCCTGTTGGCAGCAGAGGAGAGGACTCGCAAGAATGGGTTTAAATTACAGGTTGAAAGGTACCAGCTGGATATTAGGGGAAATTTTTGACAGCAGGAGTTGTGCCACAGTGGAGTCAGCTGCCCAGGGAGGTGGTGAGCTCCCCTTCACCTCACATGTGATCAACTTTTTTGCACTTTGCACCTATTTAATGAGATAGATGTTTGCAACCATTAAGACTTGTTGTCCGAATTTAGAATTTGCTAGCCCTTGTGCTGTTAAAACTTGTTAGCCTATGTGCTTTACGGATGTTGGATAAGATTGATATCACAGCTAAACACAGTAAGACAACCAGAGAACTGAATTTGGTTGAAAAAGAGTTGTCTCGAAATGAACAACCACTCTCATTCACCTTCCATATTTGACGTCCTGTGTTTTGAAAACATAGAAATTATAAACATCATCAAGCGTCAATTCTGTACTAGTTATTATTGTCTATTCATTGTGATTTGTGAACTTTACAGCAATTTCTCATCATTATTATTGTACTGCTTTGAATTGCTGGTCCCCCTTGTATATATTTGTATATGAGCTCCCCTTCACAGTCATGGCTGGACATACCCTTGTCAGGGATGCTCTAGGCTGATCCTGCATTGAGCAGGGGGGTGGGACTGCTCTCCCACAGAATGGGACTTCCATCTGACACTTCAGGTGAACACATGGAACTGCCTCATACCCAACCAGACCCCTCGGTCCATCAAGGTCAGTGCTGTCTACTCAGACTGGCAGCCGCTCTCCAGGGTCTCGGGTGAAGGTCCTTCATGTCACCTACCAACTGGCCCTTTCAACTTGAGATGCTGGGGATTATACATCAGTGGCTATTAGCCACAATGTATAGATGGAACACAACGGACTGGGGCACTGATGCTCTGTCTTCTTGGTGCTTGGGGGGCCACAGTGGGAGGGCTTCTGAAGTTCTGGCCCCGCTGGTGGACCTCCTGATGGCACCTGGGTTTTGGCCACCGTCTGACACAGAGTGTTGGACTGGATGGGCCACTGGCCTGATCCATCATGGCTTCTCTTATGTTCTTATGTCTGGGGAAGTGACGCTCTGTCTTCTTGGTGCTTGGGGGGCCACAGTGGGAGGGCTTCTGAAGTTCTGGCCCCGCTGGTGGACCTCCTGATGGCACCTGGGATTTGGCCACCGTCTGACACAGAGTGTTGGACTGGATGGGCCACTGGCCTGATCCAACCTGGGACCTTCTGCATGCCAAGCAGACGCTCTACCACTGAACAACGGCCCCTCTCCAAGGTGTGGCAAAGTGGCACCGGGAAGAGGAAGGAGGAGAGGGGATTGTGATGAGAACTCAGCAGATACTGGAAGGGGTACACTGCTTCTTTGGATTGGCCCTGAATTCCTAAGCAGAGAACAACCTGTTCCGGCGGTGGTGGTGGTGGGGCACAGAAAAGAATTTTAAAGCAATCATTAAAGCATTAAAACATTTTGCTTGGAGCTGGACTAGGAAGAGTTAATAGATTAAAGCCGTAACGGCACAACATACATGGCAGAAGAACTATTAGAAGAAGAAGAAGAAGAGATTGGATTTATACCCCGCCCTTGTTTCTGTATCCATGAAGTATTGCCAAAAACTGATATTGTGGGGAAAATTTATAGTATCCAGAGCTAATATTGAGATCTGTGTACAGTGTAATAGGTGTGTTTATGAATGGAAGATCATTTTGATAGTTAAGTATTAGAGAGACTGAAGGGGGCAGTTAATAGTGGTGAGAAGCAGATAGATGCCTCTTGCAAAGAGACTTGGGAAGTACATAGACATCTGTATTTTTAGCACTTTTTCATTGTATACTTGAAAATGAGAATGAAAATTCTGAAAATAGGCATGTAACAGGAATATTTATTTATTTATTATTAAACTAGACTTACTAGGCCGCCCTTCCCTGGAGTGGGCTCAGGGCGGCTCACAACAAAATAATACACAGATCTAGATTTTAAAATAGAATTAAATAACCCGGCATATTTCCAGTAAATAAAAACACATCACCTTCAGGAGATAAGATGGCGGGAGACAACTCCCACGCCCTCCGCCTGCCTGGGGGGAGGGTTTCAAGGGATGGAGAAATTATATAAAGCTGCCAAAGAAGCCCTGCTGGTGACCTCAACCGAAGGCTCGGCGGAACATCTCTGCCTTGCATGTCCTGCAGAAAGGTAACTGCTCCCGCAGGGCATGGATGTCTTCCGGCAGAGCGTTCCACCAGGCGGGGGCCAGGACCGAGAAATCCCTGGCCCTGGTCGAGGACAGCCGCGCCTCTCTCTGGCCGGGGGCCACCGGGGAGTTCTTATTCCCTGAGCGCAATGCCCTTCCAGGGGCACACTGGGAGAGGTGGTCCCAAAGACATGTAGGTCCCTGACCACCAAGGGCCTTAAAGGTCAAAACCAGAACCCTGAACCTGATCTGGTGCTCCACTCTTGGCGCACCTGCGTTCCAAACTGACCTGAATCTCGGGAGCTCTGTCCACAGGAATGAAGACCGCAGGCTCCGAAGAGGGCTTGGAAGCTGGACCACGTGGCTTGGGCGTGCTGGGTGGATCCGTGGCGACATCTGTGGGCTGCTGGAGTGGTGCTGAAGCAACATTCAGGATCAACGGGGTGTCCTTTTGCGCCTGGTCTTCTGGCTCTGTTTCCTGCTCACTTGAGCCTTCCTCCTCCTCCTCCTCCTTGACATCTAGTTCAAGTCTGCTTATTTTCCTGTTTGCACCCCCAACGCTCCTAATTCTTTCTGGACAGGAGGCGCTCACTTCTTGGACTGTCCTAAAACAACAAGGATGGGTTTATTCTCACAGAATCAAGCAGCCTGAGACCCAGTCTGTGTCGCCTGCTGGATTACGAACGGTGTAGATCAAATGCAAAAGCAAAGTGCGTGTCTCAGCACGGATGCCCTTCACGGCACTGTATGGCTTCCAGTGGGGATGTGCCTCTGAATGCACGTGGTTCTGCAGGGAATGGTAAGGGGCTGAAATGGAAGTTTTTGAGAAGGAGAAAAAGGACGAGGAGACTGCACTTATACCCCGCCCTTCACTACCCTAAGAGAGCCAGTTTGGTGTAGTGGTTAAGTGTGCGGACTCTAATCTGGGAGAACCGGGTTTGATCCCCCACTCCTCCACTTGCACCTGCTGATGTGACCTTGGGCAAGCCGTAGCTCTGATAAGAGCTGTTCTTGAAAAAGAGCAGTTTCTGTCAGAGCTCTCTCAGCTCCACCCACCTCATAGGGTGTCTGTTGTGCGGTGGGGAAGGGAAAGGAGTTTGTAAGCCGCTCTGAGACACCTTTGGGCAGTGAAGGGCGGGGTATAAATCCAATCTCTTCTCTCCTCCTTCTTCTAAGGAGTCTCAGAGCAGCTTACAAACTCCTTTCCCTTCCCCTCCCCACAACAGACACCCTGTGAGGTAGGTGGGGCTGAGAGAGCTCTTTTGAGGACTGCCCTTGAGAGAACAGCTCTGCGTTAACTTGTGACTGACCCAAGGTCACACCAGCAGCTGCATGTGGAGGAGTGGGGGATCAAACCCGGTTCTCCCAGATCAGAGTCTGAGCTCTTAACCACTACCCCAAACTGGCTCTCACTTGAACCTTCCTCCTCCTCAGACTCGACATCTAGTTAAAGTGTATCTAGGGAGCGCAAAGCACAGGAAGACAGAGCAGAAGGAAAACTGGTGAAGGAAAGGGCCACAAAGTCACACACAACTTACAGCAGCCCTATACAGTTTTCAAGGCAAGAGACAAACAGAGGTGGCCGTTTGCCATGGCCTGCCTCTGCGTAGTGACCCTGAACGTCCTTGGTGGTCTCCCATCCAAGTACTAACCAGGGACGACCCTGCTTAGCTTCCGAGGTCTGACAAGATTGGGACAGACTGGGCCATCCAGGTCAGGGTACCGGATAAATCAGTGGAGCACAGAAAGGCTGTGAAGGGCAGACCACGGCTGCGACGCAGCCACGGTCAAACACGGGCAGTCATCACGCGCCAACATCTTACCGCTTCTGCTGGAACATGCGCTTTCCCATCCCCAGCTTAGACGTGGTATACAACAGCTTCATTTCAGATTCAGGAGCTTGGACTTCACTCAACTTCCTGAGCCACTCGGCACGCTATGATTAAAACACACACAAGAATAGCTGGTACCGCTGACGCCATAGGGCTGCGCCAGTCCCAGAAAACGAGTCCCGTCTCCAACACAATCCGCTCCCTCCACACAGGGGAGCACTTTGTCCAAGTGGCTGACAGGGCAGGGAACGCGCTGGGACTCTGTGAGAAATGAGTGCCCGATGCAGGAACGAAACTCAGCTTCTTAAAAATCTTGGCTGTTGTTGAAAACAAAAAAGCAAGTTCCTAGACCTCATGATTATATCACTCAGAATACTGACTGGTGATATACCGAATAAACTAAACTAAACTAAAAAAAACAACAACACTCAGAATACTGACGGTGACAACAACGGTAGATGAACTGAGGTTTCTACAAAAGGGGCTTATGTATCCTTGCCCTATTACTAGAGATGTAAGATTTCCAGAAATTTCGAAGCTATGGGGAAAACAACAGCAAAAAAACCCACACCTTTTTTCCAGTTTTGTTTTGGTGTGTATGTGTGTGTGGGGAGAAATTTCGGGCATGTGGGGGGGGGGGCTAAAATATATAACTAACATGAATGTGTTAGTTATAATTTAGTCGGCTTACGGAATTGTACTCCTGGACATATTCACAGCATTTAAAGATATATGTTTTCTATAAGAAATACCATAAGAAATACTTATACCAAATACTTGAGGAAGAATTGCAAACTACTGCACTCTACAGAGAGTGAATTGTCTGGACAGAAACTTTCTCACAGAATCACAACAGATAGGACAACCAGCATGTTTGGACATCAGGCTAAACTTAGTAACACTGAACTCTCAAATAATGTCTTATCGTTAAATACGTTATAGCACATTGACTGTTGCCATAATTACTTACATTTAAACAACGGAATCCTGAAAATACTGGCTATGTCCAGTGTTCCCTCTAAGCTGAGTTAGTGTGAGCCAGCTCACAGTTTTTTAGCCTCTGGCTCACACATTTTTATCTTAGCTCAGGAAGGATGGCTCCAGAGCAAACTAATCTATGCAGAAGCCAACTCGCTCGCTCGCAACTTTAATGCCAGTAGCTCACAAAGTAGAATTTTTGCTCACAAGACTCCACAGCTTAGAGGGAACATTGGCTATGTCTACAGTTTAAGAGGGTTTTTTCCAGTGCTTCCTAAAGTTTCCTAATATTTCCACTGGAAACATTGAGAAAGCTCTCGAATCTTTTTATTCTGTACATTTGGAACGAGTGAAATGCTTTGTAAGACAAGGGTTTTCTCATTCAAAATGAGAAAATATTTCATAGGAGGCGGCTGTTCGTGTTTTCCTAATTATTCCACTGGGAAAAAAATTAAATAAAAGGTTCTGGGGGAAAGAAATCATATTTTCCTTTTTAAAAAAACTGTTGTTCCCCCCCCCACCCCCAGGCCCTCACATTTCAACCCATTACATAAGTGGAGAAATCTGTGCAGAAACAGGCAAGATATGGAATTTTGTGTAACATATACCAATCACAGAATTTAGCTTTTGGATTGCTTGGGCAGAGAATCTTAAGGCCCCCTTCCAGTAGAGCACACAACAGCCTGGGAAATAGTGTGCATCGTCCACAGATCACTGCTCCACCCTGGTGGATGCCCACATTGCATACACGTGCTGAAAAAGGCCCTGGTGCGGTTAGGAAACACACGACGCCACCAGCACCCTAGATGACGTTAAGGAGACCGTTGGGAGCTGAATGAGAGACCTCCCAAGTATGTCCCCAGGTCAACCACCTTGGCGAATGTGCTGTTATCTCAACTAATAATTTTCTATTTGGAAGATTTATACGCCTCTCCAGACACCTGCACAAGGCAGATAAAACACACACACACACAGTTAAAAATCCAGATTGCTATAAAAGCACAATTAAAACTAACTCCACCAGCAACAAAAATATCCCAAGCAGCAGCAAAATGAAGAGCAAGTGAATTCAACAGGTGGCATAGAAAGCCACAGGTCAGGGGAAAAGGCTAAAACACAACGAAAAAGCAAAGTAAAACTTCAATACAAAGCCTGGGCAAACAGGAATGGCTGAGCTCGGTGCCTATTTGGCAGCAGGGCAGGCACCACGTGAGCCTTGAGGGAACAGCGTTTCCAAGAGAGGGTGCCAACAACAAAAAAGCCCTGTCTCTGGGCAATACCTTCGTACTTCAGCAGGGAGGAGGAGGAGAAGATTGGATTTATACCTCACCCTTCACTACCCGAAGGAGTCTCAGAGCGGCTTATAATCTCCTTTCCCTTCCCCTCCCCACAACAGACACCCTGCGAGGTAGGTGGGGCTGAGAGAGCTCTTTCAAGAGCTGCCTTTGACAGAACAGCTCTGCAAGAACTTGCAAGTGACCCAAGGTCACACCAGCAGCCGCATGTGGAGGAGTGGGGAATCAAACCCAGTTCTCCCAGATTACAGTCCGTGCTCCTGAACACGACACCAAACTGGGAGAGGAAGCCAAGAGCAAGGTCAGAGATGGTCTTAACTGGCAAAGCAGAAGGCAGGAATCTACTTAAGCTCCTCACGTTATTTCCTAAGCAGAGGTGCTTTTTGCACAGGAAGCACGTTCCTCATATGGAGCCACTCTGAGCTGTTCGCATGTCCGTAGAATTTGCTCTCAGTCGCATATGAAAATCACACAACCCTCCTCCACAGTTTCCAAACGCATATACCTTTTCTTTTTTCCCCTTCTGCTCCAGAACTTTCTGCAGAAGCTTCTTCCGCTTCTTGCTGAGGGGCTTCTTTTCTGGGTGTTTCTCGGACACCTTTTTTGGCCCTTTGGCCGTTCGTGGTGGAAGGACCAAGGCGTTGCTGGCGTCCACCCCTTTCAAGGTGGTTTCATCTGGACATGGGAGAGAAGACTTGGTTAGGTCACTGCGGCTTCTTGGAGCAAACACGGCGTCACTGAACATGCAGACTCGTTCACAGGGGCTCGGCAGGATACTGCAGGCACTTCTTCTGTAGCCAGGAGATCCTAAGATTGTCTGGCAACCAGAAGTTCTAGCTCTTTTTTTGCGTTATGCACCACTAGACTTGCACCACTAGACTTTTGCGTTATGCACCACTAGTGAACTAGACTTGTTTCAGAGGTGGTTTTCCATTGCCTGCCTCTGGGTCACAACTCTGGAGATGCTTTTAACTTAAGGAACATTTTATTGGGAACATTTGGCTGTACAATCTCAGGAGAATATATAGTTGACCAGAGAGAAGTACTACTGGACATGTGATTGCACTGGAGACTTCATTTGTATTTTTGTATTTCTTTTCTTTGCCCAGTGGTTAAACTTTGGAACAATTGTTTTCTGGTCTTTATTTCATATTTTGTATATGTATGATTGTATATATTTTTACATATCAGCCAACATGTTCTATTTGTATTAGACCTCTGAGGAAGGCCTGTAAAGGCCAAAACGCGTTAGGTCTATTTCATTAGCCTTTGTATGTTTTTATATTTGTATATGAGGTATGAATGGGCCCTTATTTGTTACTTCAATTTGTGTTGAATAAATACATGTATATTTTTGTATGTTTCATAATTAGATTTTTAGAGTTGGCCCTCTTCTATTCTTGAGTAACCTTTTTAGGTTCTGAATTCTAGATTTTAGGTTCAGGTTTTTTCCCTTTTCTCTTTTTTGTCCTTCCAAATACTAGCCAAGGCCGGCTCTGCTTTGCTTCCAAGATCTGACGGGATCTGAACAGCCTGGGCTATCCAGTTCAGGACATCAGCTCCCAAACCAAATGCACATGCAAGATCAGAACATATTAAGGGAGGAACAGCATATAATTTTATCAGTTCTACATAACACCATTTTTCTAAGAAGCACAGGATGATATGCACAGGGGATACCTTCTCATCCACACAACAACCCTGTGAGGTCAGTCAGGCTGACAGAAACAGTGGATCCATGCTCAAGTCACCCAGCATGGCTTCAAGGCTGAACAGGGATATGAACCCAGGTCTAGAATCCATGTACAGCACTCTAGTGTTGCATTCTTGAGCCAGTGCTCATAAACCAAGTATGAGTGTGATGGCCTTCCTCTGATTTCTGTCCCCTGCATCTGGTATGTCAAAACCACAACGTGCCCACAGGGTGGTACAACCTTCTCTTTTAATAACACCCCAACTCGGGCACAAAGTGTGGGTCCAGTGGCACCTTTAAGACCAACAAGGTTTAGTTCTGGGTATAAGCTTTCTTCACCGGTGTGCATTCATGAAGTGTGCCTGCACACGAAAGCTTACACCCAGAATTAAACTTTGTTGGTCTTAAGGGTTCCACTGGAGTCAAAATTTGTTCTCTTGCTTCAGAAGACTTTCCCTATGAGGAAAGGTTAAGGCGCTTAGGGCTCTTTAGCTTGGAGAAATGACGACTGAGGGGTGACATGATCGAGGTTTATAAGATTATGCTTGGGATAGAGCAGGTAGAGAAAGAGGTACTTTTCTTCCTTTCTCACAATACAAGAACTCGTGGGCACTCCATGAAATCGCTGAGCGGTCGGGTTAGAACGGATAAAAGGAAGTACTTCTTCACCCAAAGAGTGATTAACACTTGGAATTCACTGCCACAGGAGGTGGTGGTGGCTACAAGCATGGACGGCTTCAAAAGGGAATTAGATAAGCATATGGAGCAGAGGTCCATCAGTGGCTATTAGCCACAAGGTATAGATGGGGCTCTGGGGCAAGTGATGCTCTATCTTCTTGGTGCTTGGGGGGCCAACAGTGGGAGGGCTTCTAATGTCCTGGCCCCACTGGTGGACCTCCTGATGGCACTGGTATTTCTGGCCACTGTGTGACACAGAGTGTTGGACTGGATGGGCCTTTGGCCTGATCCAACATTTGGCATCTCTTATGTTCTTATGTTCAGACCAACATGGCTCCGTACCCACTTGAATCTAACCCCAACTCAGGGTCACTCAATGAAAACCAAAGGGAACTCCCTGCCCCAAGAGCTAGGGATGGCTATGCCAGGGCTTTGAAACAGGGCCGCCTGCTGTCTTTTGAACCAGCTATCTCCTTAGCAGCGATCTGACCTGTACCAATTGATCTGTAACCATAGCTGTGCTATGGAAATCTCCTGCTGATTTCTGCACATCACACTTTGGTTATGTGGGGGGGGGGAGCAGATGAGTCAGTGTTTGGCTGCCCCTGTACTAGCTGGCAGCCTTCTTGGTTGTAAGGGTTAGGGGAGTTCACGGGGGGGGGGTGGGTCTCAGGTCCAGCAGTCACTGTTCGCTATGACAGCTAAGCAGAACCTCCATGTTCAGAGGCAGGCTATCTCCAACCTCCAGATGTTGGGAACAAACGACGAGAGGGCGCCTGCCTTCTTGCTCTTAGGGTTGCCAACCTCCCGGTGGGGGGGGGGGAGAAGAGAGATCTCCCTGGATTACAACTGATCTCTAGACAAAGATCGGTTCCCCGGGATAAAACAGCTGCTTTGGAAGGGAATGGCAAAATATCCACGCCCCAAATCTCCAAGGGATTCCCCATCCTAGAGACGACAACCCCGCTTGCTTTGCTGGGAAACAGGGCTAGCGGACCACCTTAAAGCCTGAAGCCGCGGGACTCCCCTTGCACGATTTTTTGCCCGCTCGTGGGGACGCATCTGATGAAGTTTAACCGCGTACAAAGGAAAACTATAACTACGTATCTTAAATAACAAAAAAAGGGGGTGTGCGCGCCCGAATCTAGTAACCCGCCCCAATAAAAACGCTACCCAGGGCCGAGCTTACCCCCCAGTTCCAGCTGCACGGTCTCCTGAACTGGCACATCCCGCTGCCCGGATTCGTCCGGCAAACGCGCCTTCCAGTTATGCCTCTTGCGAGCTTTACCCATCGCGGCCAAACACAAGACAGCGACCCACGTGGAGCCCCGAGACGCCAACAGATCCGGCACTTCCGTCTCCCTGCAAGTCTCGCGCGAGCCAGGCAGGGAAAGGTCACGTGTCTGGATATGCAAATTGTGAGAGGGAGGGGTCAGCGGGGAGGGCGGGGATGAATGCACCGAAAGGTTCCCTATCTAGCCAATGGGGGAAGCGTCTAACTACTAACTACAATTCCCAACGTGCAAAGATTTAAAGAAACAGAGCTATTAACGGTTCTATATTACTGTCTCAGTAAAATCTGAAGGGGGTAGCACAGAAAATGAAAATATTCCTGAAGCAAGCAGTGCCCTTAAAGAATAAATTATATTCTTGCACCATTCGGGTTAAAAAGGTAAAGGTAAAGGTTCCCTTGCTCGAAAGCCAGTCGAATCCGACTCTAGGGTTGCGGTGCTCATCTCCGTTTCAAAGCCGAAGAGCCAGCGCTGTCCGAAGACGTTTCCGTGGTCATGTGGCCGGCATGACTAAACACCAAGGCGCACGGAACGCTGTTACCTTCCCACCGCAGTGGTACCTATTTATCCACTTGCAATTTCTTGCTTTCGAACGGCTAGGTTGGCAGGAGCTGGAACTAGAGATGGGAGCTCACTCAGTCATGCGGCACTCGGGTCTCGAACTGCTGAACTACCGACTTTCTACAGCCTGCTGTTCAGTGTCTTAACCACTTGAGCCACCGCCGCTCCACCATTTGGGTTACCACAGCTTAAAAAGCAAAAAAGAGGACGTGTTTTCCGACTGACGACTTGTTCAAATAAGTAGTGATCACAATGACAAATCTCATGTTAAATAGCCCTACTACTAACTAGGAATATTCCTCTTCCAAAAGGTGGAAGAGATCATAACATTCTTCAGAGAAGAAAAATGAATGATAAGATTGCCCATTACAAACAATGGGAGATGATGGGAATGCCCAGTGGATAAAACCAGAATCAGGAATACCAATTGACCTGTATGTTGGGCTCCATTGAAATACATTAAGGCAGGCAAAAGCTGCAAGAGAAACGCACAACAAATGTAGATCTATGGTCTCTGTGCCCAGGTAGACTTCGTCGAGACTAAAATGACTGGCTCCAAAGTACAATAAATCTTCTCCAACTGCAATGATAGCTCTCAGAATGTAAAATCCAACTCTTCTTCCTCTTCATCCTCCTCCTCTTCTTATGACAACCTATCAGCAAAGGATGAGATGGTTGGACACTGTCATCAACGCAACGAACATGAAATTGAGCCAACTTCAGAGGACAGCGGAAGACAGGAGGGCCTGGCGGGAGCTGGTCCATGGGGTCGCGAAAAGTCGGACTCGACTGTGCGACTGAACAACAACAACAACAACAACAAATCTGGGCCCAGAGACCATAGATCTAATTTTTTTGTGCATTTCCCTTACTTTTACCTGCCTTAATGTATTTCAGTGTAGCAGACGAGTTAATTGGCCTTCCTGGCCCCAATGACATCCAATGGGCATATCATCATCTCCCATTGTTTCCCAATGGGCAATCCGGTCATCTGTTTTTAGTACATCTTGCCTTGTGGCACGCTTCGCCCTCATTTGCTGATGAACTGGCATAAGCCTGTAAGGAGAAACGATCCCTATATTGAGCTTCATCCCTATAGAATCAATACTGCATACAGATCCCAACGCAGCATGTTCTTACAGGAGTCTCCATGGGAAATTTTGCTAAAGAGCGCATACCTTTTAATCTGTTACTGAATGCTCAGGGTGTTTAAAATGCTCCCCTGCTGTCCTGAGTTTCTAGCATTCCACACAGACATCTCCCAGGAAGTTACTGCTGCTGTTGTTCAGTCGCACAGTTGAGTCCGACTCTTCGCGACCCCATGGACCACATCACGCTAGGCCCTCCTGTCTTCCACTGTCCTCCGGAGTTTGCTTAATTTCATGTTCATTACATCAATAACACTGTCTAGCCATCTTATCCTTTGCCGTCCCCGTCTTCTTTGACCTTCAGTCTTTCCCATCATCAGGGTCTTCTCCAGCGAGTGCTCCCTTCTCATTTGGTGGCCAAAATATTTGAGTTTCAGCTTCAGTCTCTGGCATTCCAGGGAAAAGTCAGGGTTGATTTCTTTGAGGATTGACTGATTTGATCTCCTTGCAGTCCAGGGGACTCTCAAGTCTTCTCCGGCACCATAATTCAAAAGAATCTATTCTTCAGCGCTCTGCCAGTTTGGTGTAGTGGTTGAGTGCGTGGACCTCTAATCTGGGAGAGCCAGGTTTGATTCCCCACTCCTCCACTTGCACCGGGCTGGATGACCTTGGGCAAGCCATAGTTCTGACAAGAGCTGTTCTTGAAAAAGAGCAGTTTCTGTTAAAAGCTCTCTCAGCCCCACCCACCTCACAGGGTGTCTGTTGTGGGGAGGGGAAGGGAAGAGAGTTTGTAAGCTGCTCTGAGACACCTTTGGGTAGTGAAGGGTGGGGTATAAATCCAATCTCTTCTTCTTCTTATAGTTCCAACTCTCTCAGCCATACACTACTACTAGGTTCGCCATCGCTTTCCTCCCAAGGTGCAGGCGTCTTTTAATTTCATGGCTGCAGTCACTGTTACATGTTACACTGTTACATATATGTACTGAACTGCCCAGTTAGAATTCATACGTAGCTTTGAGTTTCTGGACTGTTCCCTCTAAGCTGAGTTAGTGTGAGCTAGCTCACAGTTTTTTAGCCTCTGGCTCACACATTTTTTTCTTTGCTCAGGAAGGAGGGCTCCAGAGCAAATTCATTTATGCAGCAGCCAAATCGCTGGCTCACAACTTTAATGCCAGAAGCTCAGAGAGTAGGATTTTTGCTCACAAGACTCCACACCTTAGAGGGAGCATTGGTGTTGAGAGTGATTAATGGTGGTCAGCTCCACGCAGATCTCCCTTCCTTCTGGCTGGTTTACTGTAACTGGAAAGGCATTAGAATTGAAGGCAGGAAAAGAGGGAGACCCATCATGACATGGACGGACTCATTCAAAGAAGCCACGGTCCTCCCTTTGCAAGACCTGAGCGAGGCTGTGAACGAGAGGGCGTTTTGGAGGGCATTAATTCATATGGTCACCCTACGTTGGGAGCAACTCAACAGCACTTAACACACACTGCTATCGTGTCACCCAAGTGGTCCATACTTAACGGGGGATGGAGTCCTTTGCTTTGGCCTTTTTATCCTTGCGCTTGGCATAGCAAGGTATAGCCTACTCTTGGCTTGGCTGGGACTTCTGCTGTCACTGTGTGATCCACTCCACTCACTTGCAGTGAAGCATCTCTCTGCTGTCCACAGGTGAGACGTTATGCATCTGTCAATGCTACAGTTTTTAATGAATTAGCTGTCTTGGAAACCATTCGTCTGAGAGGCAAGATATAATACTTTGTTCTAAAGGAGTCTCACACACACAGAGAGTCTAAAGGAGTCACACTCACATTGAGAGCCAGTTTGGTGTAGTGGTTAAGTGCACGGACTCTAATCTGGGAGAACCGGGTTCGATTCCCCACCACTCACAGCTGCTGGATGACCTTGGGCAAGCAAGCCATAGTTCTGTCAGAGCTGTTCTCTCCAGGAAAGTTCTGGAAAGAGCTCTCTCAGCCCCACCTACCTCACAGGTGCTGTCTGTTGTGGGGAGGGGAAGGGAAAGGAGTTTGTAAGCCGCTCTGAGACTCCGAGTGAAGGGCGGGGTAATAAATCCAATCTCTTCTTCTTCTTAGAGGGCTGGGTTCAGTGCTGAGCCGCAGGAACACCAAGTGCACTCTCCCATGTGAACTCCAAGAAGTCAGAAGGAGATTTGAGACTGGAAAGGGCAGCTGTGAAGGAGCTAGAGAATTCATGCCACAGTATTCCCCATTACTATCTATGGGTGCAAAAGTTGGACAAAGAAGAAAGCTGACAGGAAGAAAGTGGATTCATTTGAAATGTGGTGTTGGAGGAGAGTTGTGTGGATATTGTGAATTGTTCTTGTCAGGGGTCATTTAGTAGAAAAAGGGGTGCAGAAGCTCATTAGCATAACTTATTTGCATATGCCACACCCCCTGGCATCACTGGAAGTGTTTCAGAAGGCAACACCCACCACTCAGGCTCCACTGGGTTGTTTCGGATTGCTAGCTATTGGGGGGGGGAATGGGGGGGATGCAGATCTGTCCTCACAGAGGAGGGAGAGCTTGTACCTGAATAAAACTTGGCCTTAAAGGTGCCACTGGACTGTTTTGGACTGGGGGCGGGGCGGGGGGAGCTCTGCAACTTACCTGGCTGCTTCTTGCTCTGACTGAGGGCTGCTGGGAGCAGGGGGTGGGGCTTGTTACATGTGCCCGCCCCCTGGGCTCTTTACTGCTGGAGCTCCGCTCCTGTGCGCTCCTGCAGGAAATGACCCCTGATTCTAGATCAAATCAAGCCTGAACTCTCCCTAGAAGCTAAAATGACTAAACTGAGGCTATCGTACTTTGGTCACCTTATGAGAAGACGAGAATCCCTGGAAAAGACAATAATGCTCGGAAAAGCTGAGTTCTACAGGAAAAGACCCAGCCTGAGATGGATGGACTCAGTCAAGGAAGCCTCCGTTTGCAAGACCTGAGCACGGGACATTCATTCACAGGGTTGCCATAAGCGACTTGACAGCACTTAACACCCACGCCACGTGAGCAGCATGTTGCAGAGGCAGATGAATCTGTTGTGGTGGGCGAGGCTCGAATTTCCTTTCCGGGAACCTCTTCCACCATTACGGGTCTTGTCCAGCAGGGCAACCCAGCTGAGAGACGGAGGAGGCCCGGAATCCTCCAGAATATAAAAGGAAAGAGGCCATGGGCTAGAAAGTACGAGACAACCACGTTAACTACGAAGTTACAGTAAACATTTAAGCTTTAATTGTCACAACAACATAATTCAGTTGTGGAATTGGCCTACAAATATTCCGCTATAGAGAAGTACATTGATCTGGTAGTCCGATAATAAATAAAGGCAAGAATAACTGAATTTTAAAAAGAAAAGATTTGAGATCTTCATGGCCACAATTACATCAGTAGAATCTGTTTAAAGTTCATAGATTAAAGCAATACGTACACCATTTTCTTCTGAACATGATCATCATATTAACAGAAACACACAATTTTGGTATACAGACTTCTTTAAAAAACTACCTAATACTTTGAGATCAGATGTCCAAAACAGGATACAAAGTCACTATATTCAGTGCAGATAAACAGTGTTACGATCAATATGGTGGGTTTTTTTCCTGATTGATGACAGAACAAAAAGGTTTCTAACTGGCATTGTATCCCAATGGAATTATTAAGGGGAAAAAGAGATTAAAGTCACATGCAGAATACAGCAAAACGCCCTGTTCTCCAAAACAAAGAGGGGGAAAAGACCAACGGCCAAGATCAATCATTAGCTGCCAAATACACAAGATCAGAATGGCTCTCAAGTCACA